GACAACGGGTTGATCCAATTCAAACTCGTAAGTTATTTGTCAAATAACACATCATGTTAGAACAGCCTTCTTAGGCGTCCGATATCTTTCTAAGCCAGTACAATAACTTTTGCATTGAATGAAAAGCAAAGTTAAATACAACCAGCCGTCCTGATTGAATCTACAGTGTTATCCCAGTCGGTTAATTCACATGGGCAAACGTGGGCAAACGTGGGAAAAAAGGGTAATTTAGATCGGCAAACACGTGGGCAAAAGATGGTGTAAATGCAACCGATTTTACCCACTTTGGCCACATTTCCCACTTTTTCCCCGTTTTCCCATGTCAGTGAAAAATGTTTTGTCCCACTTTTTCCCAGTTTTCCCACTTGACCCACGTTTTTACCCACTTATCCCATGTGCCGGAATAACAAATGTACCCACTTTTACCCAGTTTTCCCACGTTTTCAACGAACAATTCAACACTTTTACCCCGTTTTCCCACTTTACCCATGTTACAGCCCACTTTATCCCACTTTGCCCACATTTCAACGGAAAACTGCCCACGTTTTTACCCACATATCCCAGGTCGAAAAAAAAAGTAACCGACTGGGATACAAATAGATCTGTAGTCACCAGGGCTTCAGCCAAACTGGGCAAACAGGTGAAGCTGATGGACTCACGCATACTGGTCTTGAAGATCAGGGCTAATATTCCCAGCTCGTACAAATTACCCATGTCGCCACAGTCCTACAGTGAAGCTGTGCAAAGTCAGTCAAGTGGATGTGGCTCCACCCCTGTTAACATGACTAGGTTAACAGATCCGAGTGGGAAAATTGCACTAAGTGAGAACTGCATAACACCTATCCCCATGGTAGACCATGAAACAAATAGGAAGGCCAAAAAGAAACGTTCACGACGTCGCAAGACGACAAGAACGCTCCCCAAGAAGGCAGACGACTGCAAGGTCTGCGCTTCTGTTGTCAAACAAGCAGACTCTGCTTTCGAATGTAACTTTTGCAAGCGATGGGTGCATTGCAGATGCGACAATGGTGTACCAAAAGCATATTATGACTTTATGCGTAAAAACCCATGCCAATGGTTCTGGTACAATGTACCAATTACACCAAACTGCGAAGACTTCTGTCTGAAGCAAACTGGCCTAAAAATTGGACAGAGCTAACAGTTGAAGAACACTGGAGAGTGGTAAAGGAGATCATTCACCAGGCGGTCTCAGACACTGTTCCTTTAGTCACACCAAAAGCTAGGAAGCAACGATCATGGCTAAAAAGGGGGACACAACGCCTTCTGCAGGCGAAGCGAAAAGCCTGGTGTGCGTGGCGACGATCGAAGAGTCAACCCGAACATGAAGTGTACCTTGAACTCAGGAATCGATGTAACATACGAGTCCGGAGCGATAGAAGGACATTTCAGGGAAACCTCGCCAATAAGCTTCTCGTGAACCCCAAAAGCCTATACAGGTTTATGTCCGAAAGAAAACCGACCAACCAGGGAGCATGCAATCTAGTGGGTTCTGATGGGAAATCTCTTACTAGTCTTGAAATGGCAGAGACATTCAGCCTAGCCTTTCACAGGCAACTAAACAGTAACGAGGATATTACCCCACAGAACATCAAGATTACATCGCAAAACCAACACGCGAAAACCTGCTGGGTACATTTCAAATTACCCCGGCTATGGTACTTGCAAAATTGGGAAGGTTGGCTTCGGGAAAGTCTTCAGGTTGTGATGACATCAGACCATCTGTCCTGAAGCAGTGTTCAGAAAGTCTCTGCCAACCCCTAAGTGATCTGTTCCAACACTCCCTTGATGTAGGGAAACTTCCATGTGAATGGAAACGAGCAATCCTATCCCCTATCTTCAAGGGTGGTGACCGGCAGAATGCGACCAGTTACAGACCAGTTGCTCTACTTCCAGTGATATCGAAGATATTGGAAAGTCTCATTGACGACCACATGAGAAAATACTTCGATGGGACTAACCTTCTTCACGAAGCACAGCACGGTTTCAGGAGGGGAAGATCCTGCGTGACGAATCTTCTACTAGCTTGGAACGATTGGACACTATCCTGGGACAAAAAGGTACCAGCCCACGTGATCTTTCTCGACTTTGCGAAAGCATTCGACACAGTTCACCATGGTCTGCTCCTTCACAAAATAAGCAAGGCGGGTGTTTCTGGAGCACTTCTCGCATGGCTGAAAGATTACTTAGGCGAGAGAGAATTCTGCACCAAAGTCAACCGCATCCGATCATCCTGGCACACCTCGGCATCAGGGGTTCCTCAGGGTTCTATCCTAGGGCCGTTGATGTTTTTGATTTTTATCAACGACCTGCCCTCCAACTAAACTGCTCTGCGCTTCTTTACGCTGACGACGTAAAGATTTGGAGAGCAATAAACTCATCGGAAGACTCAGACAGATTGCAGGCTGACCTGCAAACTCTGGGCTCTGGCTAACGGAATGCCTTTCAACCTAAAGAAGTGCAAAGTAGTGCAACTTCATTCCGGCAGGTCACAGAGTGTAAATTACACCCTTGGTGGCCAGAACTTGAGTTGTGTTCCATCAGAGCGAGATCTAGGTCTTATTCTAACAGAAAAGCTAGACACCAGTGGAAATTACTCGAGGGACGTCGCCAAAGCCTACGCAACTTTACACTTTATGCATAGGCAGCTGGGAGCTCTCACTCCCGAACTGTTCTTAAGGTTATATAAGGCATATGTGAGGCCACACCTTGAGGTGCATAATATCATTGCACCTCCGCTACTCAAAAGGGATGCTAACATTCTAGAAAGTGTCCAGAGACGAGCGACAAAATGGGTGATCGGCCTCCGCAACAAATCATATGAGGAAAGACTAAAGAAATTAGGTCTTTTCACACTTAGTTACCGAAGGCACAGGGGAGACCTCATCACCGTCTACCAGATCCTAAATGACCAGGCCCACCCAAATAAAAGCATCCTGCCATTAAGTGATTATAGGCTTCCACGAGGTAACCCGCTAAGGATAGCACACCAGAGACCAAAGACTCGAGTGCGATCACATTTCTTTTCGCTTCGTGTTTGCCGTCTCTGGAACGCTTTACCGGCGGCCGTGACTACAGCGCCATCTCTGGAGATTTTTAAGCGGAAGCTAGACAATCATGCAGAAATGCAAGGTTTGTGTCTCAATGGCTTATCCTCATAAAACTTGAAACCACACTGTCAATGGATAAGCGTACAAACTAAATCCCCACGACCTATTCTGCCTTCTCTCACTCTATCTTTTCCTTAGGTCACCTTTATTATTCCACTTATCTCAACCTATATTATCTACACTACAACCCATTATTTTTATTATTATTCTGCTTTTATGACTACACCGAATGACCAACGGGAGTTAGGTCAAACTCCATTCACGGCAGCAATACAGTCCTAACATACTGCATACTACAAACCACATCTCGACCAATCCCCGCACCACTCCTCCTGGAGTCTACCAGAGCTAAAGCAGTCGAGTGGCGGGACTTACTACGCAGAAGCTCACCGAAGATCTGGAACCTCTACCTCACAATCAAGAAGCGAGCTCAAAGAAATCACTGGTTTATACTAGCTCGTAATCAGGATATTGGATCTGAACAACTAATCAGAATTATTGAAAGTATACAAAATTGTTAAAGAGGTAACTTTAGTCATGGCTGACGTTATAAAACTGCAGTCCAATAGCAAAAAATAAGGTAGTTTCTGTGGAAGCCTCGCATTACTCCCACCTGACAAAACCTTTAGGTGCACTGTAGATATGTGAAATAATAGGGCACTTTCTGCCGTGGACCCAATGTTTTTCCCTGCAGTCATTGCTGTGAGTCTCAGTGTTCTGTAATGGGCAGCAAAGCTAACTGAGCCCAACTAGCATGACATTGCACGCACAGACTTTTCGACTAATTGTTTACAATGTAATATATGTAGAAGCAAGATGAAAGTAACAATTTTGGCATGTTCATAAATCCACAGTGATTTACTAATAATGCTGTCCATCCATTAGAAAACTAGGGTTATAAAGTGTTTAATTTTTTACGTAAAATATGACAGCGTTATTCATTGCAGCGGGCTACGGAACAAACCACACATTGTTGTAAACTGAGATACAAAGCAAGCATGTCGTAAGTTATTTTTAGAAGCCATCAACTTTACTGAATTGAGCGTCCCCAAGCTTACAATAATGCTGAGCTATGTGTGGGCAGCGCGGTTTAGTGCTGAATGAACATTCTGAGTGCTTAAAAAACCTATTTTGTACTGACTTAATGCGGGTAGTGCTTAAGGATTTTACTGGATGCCTCACTAATGCGCTAATTGTTGAAATGATGCCGGTCAGTGCAGAGGTCATTGTAACGTTGCCGAAAAACTATTTGGCAGACACTGAGTTACTGCAGGTAATGCTAAAAAATAGCACAGTTCGCGAAATTTGTAAACTTGGGTCATACTGTTGCCACTATACCACATCGAAAGCAGCAGTACAGTATCCTTACTACAGGTTTGTCGCATTAATTTCACTTGCAGAAGTCAAACTGGTGGGAAATCATATTTATAATCTAAGCAAGGCATTACTAATACCCATCAGTCCTGTACAAAGGCTCTAAATAAAGAATATTAACTGATTAACATAACTATTTCTTACTCAAATCAATGTTATAAACAGTGAGACTGTGGGTATCCTTGCGTACAAACCAAGTATATGTACCGCATTAATTCTAATAGGTCTTTCTTCAAGCTCAACGTATGATAAAACACTTAGTTATTTCTTCTGATAATTTATTTTCTTGGCAGAAAACTTAATATAGATTGTTTCTAAAGAAATGTGGAGCGAAAACCTATACAATTCTATCCACTTCCCATCAAACTTAAAACACTAATTATCCGATCAACTTCCTAATGTAAAACATTCATACTTCAACTTTTTAATTGGTGTTGCATTGTGAGTAATACACAGACTGTTACAACAGTACTCATTAACTCGATTGTAGAATGAAAAATGACATCAGCTAGAAAACCGAAAGCCAAACTTACAGAAGAGGCATTAGTCGAATATAAAGCACAATTTGACTTATTAGATCAAGATAACACAGGGAAAATACCTGTTCCAGAAGTAACTTTGCTGATGCGAAGAGTAGGTTTGATGCCTTCAAACATAGAGGTTGAGGTGAGTCTTGATATTTGCTGTTTTATTTAAAAGTAAATACTTCAAAAGTTTAAAATACAGTGACAATAAATCTGCTGAGTAATTACACTTTGTAGACAAACAGCTTTTTCAAGAAATAAAATTAAGGTGAATTATACTACTTTTACTAGAATAAGGTGGCAGTCAGAATTACTTGATTTCGAAATTCATCAGAGACCTTTGCCTGGAGTAAAAACAACTGAAACCACTCATAGACAAACCTATCCTAATCTGAAAGGTGACTTGGATGTTTGTGTAAAGATAAAAGTGCAAAGGTAGCATTTAGACACTAGGCAAATATGATTTCATTTGCCTAACACAGTAGTAATAACTAGAAGACATTTTGAGCAATTTATCAGTATTGTACTCCTCCATTACATCAGATAATCTAATGCGTCACTGTAAAATCGACTCTTTGTCGTGTGATGAAAAGTGAAGGTAATCCACTGACTGGCTTTAACAGTAGGTTTCCGACCCACTGGTATAGTTTCTTGAATTTATGGAGTGGGGAAAAGAAATTCCTTCCTTTAACCTCTAATTTCGGTAACGTGATTGTATGTTCCTATTAGTGGATAGTAATTGCTATTCATTATATCGAATCATTAAGAACAAAAGCTCCGACAAGAATAAACTGTTAAGCGTCAAATTGTTATTACTTGTTATTTTTTTTATTATTACTTGATACCACACAGTATTTTGGTACAAGTGTGGAATTTTCAGCATGTGATGTTGGATAGCCCAAATTTGGCAGACCGACCACTGATATCAGGTGTACGTCGGCCGGGAATCGAACCCCGGACCATGTTCATGGTAGGCAAGAGTTCTAACCGCTGTGCCACCGACGTACAAGTTCAAAACATGAATAAATACAAAATTGGACTCGTCGTTAGATACCAGGGTAACTGACAATGAAGATACGGTAGTAACTGATATTCAAAACGCATTTTATTCAGCCGGACTGTATTTTTTATACGAATGAATGTTGACTTCAAAATTCTGCCACGCACAAATTTACACTGAATTGAACATTTCTCAGCCAGCACTCGTATGACAAAAGAGACCGACTCATCCGAACTTTATTAGTAATACAAAGTTAACTTATTTGTGTGCACATACTGATTACAAGTCCACAATGAAAAGTGAGCTATAAAGATTAAACAAGTGATTTAATTTAGGAAGTGTTACTTTTTCCAGTTATTTTTAAGTATTATCGACTGACCAACTACTGAAATATCCAGAACAGCTTACAAATACTACTCTCAATTGGCAGGATATTCTTCAAAATGACCAACGATTATGTTTGCCATTTGTTGAAGGTACAATCAAAGTCGTTTTATATTTTTCAGATGGCCACCAGGCAGCCTAAAGATACTTATAGCTTGAAACTTACTATTATCACCAATAAAACCAACTAGTTAATCTCAAACTGTTTCGTACGACATCTATGAACACTAAAACACGACTAAGAGAAGAAAAGCAATTGCACAAAAACCCATATCTGCGACAGATGCTATTTGGTTCAGACCAGAAAAGTGAAAATATTCAGTGGTGAACGTGGAGATAAAAGCTAGTACTGCTTAGGTATGGGTCGTAATCTGTATATACTTGTGGATCTTGATTATTTTTATCTGTGATAAGGTGTCACTCATAGATCATATAAAGGTTTGCCTTATATTAGTCAATCCATGTTTAGTTTAAATTACTTCTAATAACGCTAACCAAATTTGTTAAAGCGACTAGTTGTTTAAGACGGTATATCTGTTAGAACTTAAAGAATTTTTTAAATCCCCGATGTTCCGAAGCTACTTTTAACTAGCATGAAGCTAAGACGTTATATAAGACTAAATGTCTCTGTTTCAGGAATTAATACAAGAAGTTGATAAAGAGAAGACAGCGCTTAATGAGGGCATCACTTTTGACCAGTTTTGTGAAATAGCATCAAGAAAATATGACGATGTATACACAGAGTCAGACATAATTGAAGCTTTTCGTACATTTGACGTGGAAAATAATGGCTTTCTGCCAGCTTCTGAACTTCGGCGTGCACTCTGTACAATGGGTGAAAATTTGACTGACGAAGAAATGGAAGCAATGCTGGACATAGCCAGAGTTGATAATGATGGAAATGTTCGTTATGAGGAATTTGTCCGCTTCATTGTATCCGACTTTTAAAATAATTCAAAAGCTAAGCTTCGAGATATTTATGACTTTTATTTTGATTACTTTAGTATTCTTATTTGGTATGTATGTACCAATCTTCAATAAATGCATGTAACTAAATTGTAGAAATAAATATATACAGACAGATAATGGACATTTTATTAGAGACAATGTAATCAATTACGCTTCGGTTTTAGAGGCTCAAAAGTACATAACAACCAGTCGATTTTGAGTTCGGAAGCCATTAAGACCAGACACATTCAGTGTCCTCCGTAAGCGTAAACCTATTATAATATGTGGCGCTTAGTAGCATTGATTCCTTAGTATTTACAGGTGAAAAAGCACTAACCAGAGCATATCAATCTTTTAGTTAGTGAGGTTACAACAATAAAATACAATGGGATTATATCATATGTAGTGAAGACAGATTACAATACATTAAAAAAGTATATTTGAGTATATCAAAAAATTAAACCGTATTATTGTTTAGGTGAGATATGTTGCAACTGTGTTCGACTTGAGCAACTCTATGAATTAATAAACTTGGCAATACAAAGTTAAGAAATCCGTAATTAGCTTCTGAATTTTAATTGTGTACAGTGTTGTTGTGCAATTCAAACTTTCAGCAATGACCTATATAAAAATGAAAACTCCTAAGAGACATAAATGGAAGAGTTTTATCAGTTGAAAAGGGACAGGTTTATTTGCCAAGAAATTCAGATAAGAGATGTGTTGGGGAATCGGAGAGGTTGTACATGACTTCATAAATTTTTTGTTTCAAACGTAATTTTTTCCTGAGACTTTTAAAGAACAGATGCTGTTCTTCCATTAGACGAGAAAGTTTCTCAAGTTCATAAAATATATTGTCATTAATATCTACGAGAGAATTCGACAAACTCTCTAGGGAATCGAAAGTATTGAAATACTTTTGGGAATAAATTAGATTTAAATATTTATTGGCGACAGAATCTGTACTGATCCATTCCTTAGATGGGAAGTTAGTATGATCATTAGGTGATGTCAGACGCGTTTCATAGTCCTTCACCAACTGATCCCACTTTTGGCATTCACTCTTGTACCTCTCGACTAGTTTATCACTTGGTAAAGCATCATCCACCTTGTCATTGGTATCTTCAATTAATGACTGCTCTCTTGAAATGTCATTAACCGAAGAAGAAGCCCCAATGAGGAGGCTTTTTCTAGTAGACTTCCTTTTCTGTATACAAATTGGCGGTGAGTCTGGTCCTTTCTCTTCAAACATCATCACAGAATTAAAAGAACCTGTGTAAGCAGACAGAGAAAAATCTATTATTTATTATTAAGTAATTACTATAGTACTACAAATATCTACGTCTACTTACCCACACGGATTAATAGCTAGAGACAAAGTATACGTTCAAACGTTGGAAGTATGCAAAGTAATGTTACTTTCAAAGGCTTGCATCGACATAATTTGGATAGCGATTAGTCACAGGTCATTTCTTTTTTAAGTGATGCTTTACTACCGAGAACAGAAGACAATTTAGTTGACGCTATTTTTCGTACAACCGAATTCAGTATCACTCACATTTAGCATTATACCTTATTTGGTAATATTAGGAAGCAGCCGACAATTTTAAAACTTTAAGCAATTTGCATTAAACGATAAGTTTGAAATGGGTCTGAGAATTTGTTGAGGACTCATGCTAAGTTCATTTATATCAATTATAAAAATTGATAAGATTGAATTTATGGTTCACCTAAAGTGGTAAAAAGGTGTCTGTCTGTTTTCGACACAGAACTTTGCATATATGTGCGGCAGTTCGAGTCACCACGTTCCATGTAGCACACAAAGAAAGAGAAAGAAGAAATGCATAATAGAGACGGTAAACAGAAGTGTGAGACAAAGGAAGAGCAATAACGAAGAACAAAACAGTTCCATTGGAAATCCTAAGTCACAAGGAGTGGATACATCTGCGACACTGAGACCGATTTTGAGCCCTATCACCAGTTGTTTCCAGCCATTGGTTTTTACCGTCTCGAGGACCCCAACCTGGAAGTCTACACCTTCCTAAAAAGGTGAAAATATGTAATTCAGAGAAGAGACTTTTCAATAGATTTGTTATCAAGCCGTATAACTATACACAGATAATCTTTGTTGATTGACGTTTAACGATCGTTAGAATCACAAATATTTTGTCGTAATTCACATTATTTACAAAAAATACTATAGATATACTATTGTACTATCGACAAGCATTCCTTTTTTCACTGGCTGTAATCTCTAGAATTACAAATATATAACTAATGTACGACGATAGAGCTTCACATCAAAGTTTCATTTTAAGTCGCCACACTGAAATAATACACAAAAGCAGGGTGGACTGTAATAAAAAGGTGGACGAAAATGCATAGGTGGTGGAATAATCAGTTCAAGATTAATAGACGTATCTTGCATTTGAGGATGACAAAGGGTTAAAACATTCGTGCCATTTTAAACAATTTTGAGACATGTCACAGGATTCCAACTATTGGTTCTTAGCATTCCAATGACTCTGAACAGAAAGGCATATACTTTGTTATGTTGTTCAGACTAGCAACTAATGACTTCAAAGACTGATGCCAAATTTCACTCTGACCATCTCTAACTCTTCCACAACCTACTTACGCTTTAAATAACCGCCTATTAACAAAGGAGAAGACTTAGCACGTCATAAATATATTGGCAGGTGAAGCTTTATAAACTCAGATACTGACTTTATCTCCTTAATTTACTTTTCCTAAACGTAATAATACCATGCTGTTCCTTCCGATACGAGAGGTTGAACAAACCCATCCATGGTTAAAAATGTCTAATCCTTTCAACGCCACTTGTTCAAGCCTTGTCGAAACAGTCGTAAGGCAGAAAAGGTCTACTGGACAATATATGTCTTTTGTTGGGTGCCCAGATCTCACACTTGTAACAAATATGACTCAAACTCACGTATGCTAAATGACCCTGTTGCATTTACACTGATATCCCATCAGCCACCTCTAGTTTACGACTGATGCAACCTGTTAGATAAGTGATAGAAATAGCAAACTATTTCACATCCTATTGGAGTCAATCAGCAGGAAATATTAGACGTAGTATTTTGTGATTGTCGACATTAGTCAGTGTATCAGAAATCTTGAAGAAACTCGTGTCTCTCCTTCCGTGATGGTGAGCCATCTAGTAAAGTGGCCAGGAAGCAAACTTGACTGATAGAATTCAGTCTGCACAAAAAAGAAAACTTGATAAATGAAACTAGTAAATACCTAGTGCCCAACAACAGTAATTCACTAATCATATTCGACTAAGAGTCAGTGCAGACCAGTCTTATGGCACCAGGGTACATGTGACAGGGGTCAATTCCATGCCACGACCACAACACATGAATTATAGGCTAAAATGAATGAGTAAACTGTGTTCATTGCCGTTACTCAAACTCTAAACATAAACCTATTCAGCACAAAATATTATCCACTTATCAGTTAGAGGTTACGAATATAGATTAAAAGCGGCTTAGAAACAAGATTTCATAGGATTAGAAAATAGTTACAACGTATGCAAAAACTAATATTTGATAGCTGGAGAAATAATTTTAAGTCAAATAGGTGATAATTGATTTCAATTCCATATGAATTACAAGAGGCTTAGAAACCCAGGGATAGAACGAATTACAGGTGTGAATAAAATGGGCATGGAAACAAATTGAAATCAAAATTTTCAACTTGAAATGTTAGTTAGGAGATGTGAATATAGATTACAAGAGGCATAGAAACAAAAAGTTACACAGGATTAGAATATAATTGTAGAATTGTTATTCTAAACGGATTACAAGTGTGATCAGGCGGAGCATGGAAACAAACTTAAAATAACTGTTTTTATAACTGAAAAAAATTAGGTGAATTTAATGAAGACTGAGGGAATAAGGATCAGACACACGGTGAACGAAAAAATGCCCAAAAGGAAAAGGGAGAACGAAAAGAGGACGAAGAAAAAAACGGAAGCAGCTGAACATATCAAACTAAGTCCATGGTAGTTGTAGAGGTTTGACTAATTTCTTTTGAACACAGCTCCGGCTTCTCGATGCATATTGCGAGGGCTTCTGCAGTACAAAGAGGTCAAAAACATACTGCTTTTGGTAGGTTTCTGTTGACTTTGTAAATCACTTTGAAAGAATCAGTTGAGATGTTCAATAATGGCACTTCTGATTGAACCGGTGCCTCCTCTTTGCAGCCACGCTGGGTAATGTTCTCTAACACGTTTTGAAAGGATGCGCATACAACGACCTATGTACCTAGCTCCGCACGAGCAAGTGAACTGGTATATGCCCATTGAATTGGCCATATGTGAGACTTTGTCCTTTGTGTTGTTTCGAAGTATTGGACGGCTAGAGAATGTCACTTTTAGTGTTGCTGCAGGGAAGGTCTTCTTTAAAGAGCTGGATATTCTCCTCTCCAGGATATCAGCTGCCAAATCTCCCTTGAAATTCAGATTTAGATACAGCGTTTTCTTTGGCACTGAATCGCATTCTTCTCTTTTTGGTTTAGGTTTCATATTCTTTTCGACAAAACGTGTCGGGTAGCCATTTTAAGCCAGGATATTTTTGAGGAATAGGAGCTCCTCTTGCATGCAATCGCTGCTGCATATTTTTTTAATGCGATGAGTTAGTGCGCTGATGAGAGCTCGTTTTCGGCTCAAAGGTATCCAACTATAGAAATGCATTAGTTGGCCGTTCCATGTTGGTTTTCTGTAGATGGACCTCTTCAGGCTTCCATTATCTCTTCTTGTCGATTCCACGTCCAGAAATGAAATCTTTGAGTCGTTTTCTAATTCCATTGTGAATTTAATCGATGGATGGGAAATATTATTAAATTATTGTAAGATGCAGTTGAGGTCCAAGTTATCGTAGCAGACTATAAAGGTATCGTCAACGTACTTTTTGTACAGTAGTAATTTGTTTATTGTTGATTTTAAAACTCCACTCTCCAAACTGGCCATAAAGCAGTCTGCTAAAAGCGGGCCAAGAGGAGATCCCATAGTAATTCCATCCTTGTTTCTTGCAGGTGAATTGCTCTTTTTCAGTTCGTCGAAAATAATCATATAGACATTAGAAAGAAGAGAACACTTTCTTTCTTTCCTTCTTATGTCCATATGGGTATTTTCCACGAACTGAAAAAGAGCAAGGACCCTTCGACAGTGAAAGAACTCAACGGGTTCCTACGTTACTCTGTCAAACTTGCCGAAGTTAATGCAAAATTGGAATTTTTCGAGAGCTGTATTACTAATCGCGAATATCCAAAATGGTTCTAGAAATCGCTTCGGAGACATCACGTATATCCTAACTCAAAAACTCTTCAAAGTTACACTAGAAACGTCATCGATAAGTTAACATATATTTGAATTGCAAAGAAACATATCACAGCGATCTTCCGCTCTTTGTGAATTATCATCATGTGAGAGACAATTGTTCGACATATACGTTACTCTGATGCAGAACAGAAGAGCGGAATATGTTAAATCAGATTTAAACAAAAGCTTGAAGTCCGTGGAAGTCCAGAATAAATTCCTTAGCGTTCCTAATAAATTTGTTTTCAATCATTCATCAGTTCCGTTATCAGCGGTACAACTAGAAGCTTTATCTCTTGGACTAAAATTCTGTGATATTAATCTTAACAGCAACAGACTTCATACGTACATTCAATTCGAGAACCTCATTAGCCAAACTCATGATATTACTCCAGTCTTCGACGCAGATTTCCTACACTTTAAGTCAACAATCTTCGATTGCTGTAATCAATATCTCAGCTTAAAAACTCAAGCCCGACGTCTACTGACAAAAGAACATAGAAAACAACTCAGAGAACTAAGAGACAAAGATTTAATAATAACACGTCCTGACAAAGGATCAGCAGTGGTCCTAATGGGCAGAGATATATTTAATAACAAATTGACAACATTTATATCAGATGACAAGAAATTTGCCAAGCCCAACAATGAGAAAAAAAAGACAGAACTGATTGAAAGACATCTAACAGATGCTCTCAGACGAATGAAGAACGACCGTCTCATACCTGAGGACCTATTCGACCGCCTCAAACCGACAGGATCAACCACTTCCCGACTCTACGGCTTACCAAAGGTGCACAAACCTGGCTTGCCACTTCGACCGATTCTAGACATGTCAGGCTCACCATACCATCCAATCGCCAAATGGTTGTCCGAAATGTTGGAACCGGGAAGACAACACCTGTGCAAATACTCTCTTCGCGATACTTTTGAGTTCATTGAATGCATAAAAGATTTGAATGCAAATGATAAACGAATGTTATCACTAGATGTCGAATGTCTCTTTAGCAACGTGCCACTAACAGAAACAATTTGCTTTCTATGCAATTATATAGAGAAACCTAATATAAGCGACGGAATACCAATGTCATATCTGAAGGAATTGTTGCTCAGATGCACTCTGAATGTACAATTCACCTGCAATGGCGACATCTACAGACAAAGAGATGAAATTACAATGGGATCTCCTCTTGGCCCGCTTTTAGCAGACTGCTTTATGGCCAGTTTGGAGAGTGGAGTTTTAAAATCAACAATAAACAAATTACTACTGTACAAAAAGTACGTTGACGATACCTTTATAGTCTGCTACGATAACTTGGACCTCAACTGCATCTTACAATAATTTAATAATTCCCATCCATCGATTAAATTCACAATGGAATTAGAAAACGACTCAAAGATTTCATTTCTGGACGTGGAATCGACAAGAAGAGATAATGGAAGCCTGAAGAGGTCCATCTACAGAAAACCAACATGGAACGGCCAACTAATGCATTTCTATAGTTGGATACCTTTGAGCCGAAAACGAGCTCTCATCAGCGCACTAACTCATCGCATTAAAAAAATATGCAGCAGCGATTGCATGCAAGAGGAGCTCCTATTCCTCAAAAATATCCTGGCTTAAAATGGCTACCCGACACGTTTTGTCGAAAAGAATATGAAACCTAAACCAAAAAGAGAAGAATGCGATTCAGTGCCAAAGAAAACGCTGTATCTAAATCTGAATTTCAAGGGAGATTTGGCAGCTGATATCCTGGAGAGGAGAATATCCAGCTCTTTAAAGAAGACCTTCCCTGCAGCAACACTAAAAGTGACATTCTCTAGCCGTCCAATACTTCGAAACAACACAAAGGACAAAGTCTCGCATATGGCCAATTCAATGGGCATATACCAGTTCACTTGCTCGTGCGGAGCTAGGTACATAGGTCGTTGTATGCGCATCCTTTCAAAACGTGTTAGAGAACATTACCCAGCGTGGCTGCAAAGAGGAGGCACCGGTTCAATCAGAAGTGCCATTATTGAACATCTCAACTGATTCTTTCAAAGTGATTTACAAAGTCAACAGAAACCTACCAAAAGCAGTATGTTTTTGACCTCTTTGTACTGCAGAAGCCCTCGCAATATGCATCGAGAAGCCGGAGCTGTGTTCAAAAGAAATTAGTCAAACCTCTACAACTACCATGGACTTAGTTTGATATGTTCAGCTGCTTCCGTTTTTTTCTTCGTCCTCTTTTCGTTCTCCCTTTTCCTTTTGGGCATTTTTTCGTTCACCGTGTGTCTGATCCTTATTCCCTCAGTCTTCATTAAATTCACCTAATTTTTTTCAGTTATAAAAACAGTTATTTTAAGTTTGTTTCCATGCTCCGCCTGATCA